TTCAACTCGTTCCTATACACTATACTTTCGTCAATAAAGAAAGAACATTTAATCAGTGGACTAATCGTTTATTTCAATAACCAATGTCAAATCTTTATTGATGTGTCGATTTCATTGAAACCTTTACAATCTCATTACATTAGTAATAATAAAATGCTTATTAGTGGTTAGATTTAAGAGGTAACTCTCATAGTTCTAACCACAGTCAACAACCAGTGGAGTGCAACTGCGTCGAGCACGGAACAAATATTACCAATCCCAATAAATGATGGTCACAGAATATCACTTGTTGACTTATCGAATATCAACTCAATGATTCATAGATTCGGATCTTACCTCAAGACTTACAAGTCACGGGTTCAGTTCCTATTGAGGTAATAGATACGTACCCTTAGATAATTTCATACTTAATGGAAACAGTTATCTAATGTTTTTCCTATGTTTTAGCCGTTGTCTGGTTGCAATTAGATCTTCATGTAAATTGTAGACAATGTCGACTGATATCGTATTCATCAAGTTTCTGTACTAGCTGTTATGCTCATCAATTGATATACTTCAAATTATTACGAGTTTACCGTAGTCAGTAAACGAGATCGAAAACAAGTGATACAGTGACACGATAGGCTACTCTAATCCGGGCATCCCAAGGCCCCAGTAAGCAAAGAAAGAAGTCTAGGTATGGCGTAGAAAGTGTATTCTACAATCACCCAGAAATTCGAGTTTATTTGTGCATCATAGAAACGTCCATGGGAGAGCCACAAAAATAGCGTACTAAAATAATACATCAACCAATGACAACCGAGGATTTTCCGGGTGGAAAATATAGTCTCAAGGTCAACTGATCAGCCCATGCTCAAAAGCATAAAATCCAAAATTAGTACCTTTATCAAGTGAGTTCTGGATATCTAAAGTCCCCAACATTAGCGTTGTTGGCTGCGTCAGATTCTATATACGGCTAATCCTTTCTGTTGTGTACTGTGATTCGATGTAGGGCTTAATACTTTAGTGCTTCGTGATTTGGCTCCATTATTTATGAACATTCAAATAGGCCATGAAATATATCTCCCCATCAGTTTCCGTAGATCCTCATACTTAGGCGAACCCTGTTTGTGTGACGGCGGAAATAGAAAGCCAAATACAGATTCGGTTGGATGAGTTTATTTGGCACAAATTTTCATGTAGACATGAGAACGAAAAGCATATAATCAAAGTGGAGTGAATTGAAGTGGAGAAGGCGGGCGAGCCAACTCTAAACTTTATTTAGCATGACTAAGAATCTATAGTCAGACAAAAATAAGCCAGACATGTAGCAGGAGAGGTAGGCGTGTATACACATGAATAAAAGCAACGCAGAGATATGAACGAATGACTGACAAGATCAAAAGACAAGTGTGAGCTGGATATAGAAGCACCCACTACAGCCTCTTCTCTGTAATCTTACATTTATACTAATAAAATTCTATAAGTAGTTAGATTCTGATATGCATAAATTAAATTTTCATTAAAATAGTGAATCGATCATTTTTTAAAGAGCATTAGAAACACAGAAGTATTGTACAGTCGTTTTGTCCTAGTGGGGACTAATCAGCAAGTGTACAACCACGACCCCCACCTACGAGAATCAATAACAGAACTTTTAATCTCGCGCGCAAACGCTCAACCTCTAGACCACTAAGCCGGAAACCAACGGTGTTAATGTCTAACTTTAATCAATCCGAGTTATTGGTTGGGACATGTGTTGCGTATGCCTAACCACCGACTGCCTCGACGAGCTTTGTTTTGTAGTATAGGAGTAGGTTGGAAGAAATTTAGGGGCAGTCAGACCAAAACATGGCAGCAATCCATGAAATCATTGACGAGTGGACTTAGCCATGTCGGTAATTGTCGACTACCTGGTTGGGGTCCGCGAGATGATAATAATCGATGGTTAGAGACGTTGAATGACATGGCTCAAAATCGTTCGCAATGGCGCAAGTGCATCAATTCGTTGTGCTCTCTCAAATCGTAATCTTCTGGATTCGTCAACACCCCTAGTTTTGACTTTCTAAATTTTTTTCTCACTGAATCATACTTCTCGAATAATATCTTCTAATCCTAATCTTTCCGATTACTTCTAATACCTTTACTACCTCTTCTACTATTGGATTTGAATTGACAATTATATCTCTGTGCTGATGTGGTATTGCAACATGAACTGATGTACTTACTTACGAAGTTCTACGTTGCATCTGACTGACTGACTATTGCACAACCCCAACAATGTCTTCTATAGTTGCACTTTACAAGACTGAACTCCACTAATCACAGCTTATCACTAGAACTCTAATAATTTCCACACTAAGCTAGTCACTAAATAAAAACATTTTATGATTTTTCGTTATCGAGTTATAAAGATTATCAAGTCTCATTAAAAATAATAATGAATTGATCATTGTTGGGGTTAAGTATTCCCGTGAGACTAAACATTACCTTGTGAATTAGGTCCGAAATAAAAGTGCCTACTTCTTTTTGTTCAATCGGGGTGTTACGCTCATCACTAGAGGTATGCTTGAAGCTATTTACGAATTCACCTTAGTCGGTAAACACGAACGAGACAATTACCAGCATCCAAGTAGGCTACCTTGATCCCCGAACGGCAAAACAGAATTCTCGATAAGCGTAGAAATTGTATTCTACAATAACGGCCAGCACACAGTGAATAACACAGAGCGAGTATCCCAGTTCACAAATAAATATTTTGATGATTTGTGTGGTGCATACATTTTAAAATGCCTTTTTGTGTCAATAATTTGAATGTTTAAATAAATGTATGTCAATGAGGTGTAGCTTTCAAGTCATCTATGAGATATCTTAAGCTTATATCGTAAATATGACTTGACTTTAGAAATGTCTGGTCCGCTTTTCTGTCATGGTTATATTCTTTTCATGTCTAATATGTATGACAATAGACAGACAGACAGATACAACGCAGAACTTTGCACGTAAGTACATCAGTTCAGGTTGCAATACCACGTCAGCACAGAGACGCAACTGTCAGTTCAAATCGGAGAGTGATAGCGATAGTAGAATGATTAGCAGTAATGGAGAAGATTAGGGAACGAAGATATGATTCGAAAAGTATAATGCAGTAAGATAAATTTAGAGGGAGAAAGATAGAGATTATGGCGAATTCATAAGGTTAGAATTAAAAAGCACACAAAGAGTGGATGCACCTGCGCCATTGCAAACGATTCTGAGCCATGTCGTTCAAGATCTCTAACCATTGATGACTTTCGTCTCGCGGACCCCAACCAGGTAGTCTACATCTACCAACATGACTCAGTCCACTTGTCAATGACTTCATGGATTTCTGCCATGTTTTGGTTTGGCCGCCCCTAGTTTTCTTCCAACCTACTTCTGCACCACAAAACATAGCTTGTCACGGCAGTCGGTGGTTAGCCATACGTAACACATGTCCCAACCACCTCAACTGATGAAGTTTCAATACTTCATCTATTGATCCGCTATCCTTACCTAGAACTCGTTTCCTAACGATAGCATTGCTTATACGGTTGTCCCAGGATACACAAGCAATGCTTCAGCTACACCTATGATCGAATACTAGTAACCTACGAATATCCTCTACTCCTGACGGCCATGTTTCGCATCCGTCAATGACAATACTTTTGGCTGAATTGACTAGACGTCAACTTCATTCGCTTAATGAATGAAGGCAGAAAAAATAACAAAAGCCAATAACCAGTTACCGTATCTTTCAATATTCTTTTAGAATTATTCAATGTTATAGAATAAATTTTTCTAATAAATGAAATCATGAATAGTAGTGAATCATTGTTAGACTATCATTAGCAACACAGAAGCACTTGACTGCCATTTCGTTTTGACATAGGATTCGTCCACACTGCGCATATACGACTCCTGTTACTCGCTGGATCTGAACCGACAACCTTCACTCTGGCGCATGAATGCCTAACCTGTTAATTATGTATAATTGTGTTGGGAACGGCAGATTCCCAGAACTCACTTGATATAGGTCCTAATTTTGGATTTAATGTTTTTGAGCATATTTAGTGCCTCCACATATATTCCAATTCACTTACATCTCTAATTTGATTAAGCCCTTTCGATTAATTTATTTAACCAAGACATTTGTATTGCAACAATTTAAATGTTGTACCATTCGTTCTTATTATTACTGTCTGGTTTGTATCAGCTCACATGACGTGTCCCACTTGTCATTTGACCTTGTCAACTATTCGTCGCTTTTATTCACGTGTGTGCATGTCTATCTCGTTGATCACGTGTCTGTCTTATTTATGTCTGACTATATATCCTTAGTCAAGATTTATCTCTTGGAGTTGGCTCACTAGCCTTCTCCAATTCACGTCGCTTCACTCGTTTTATATTCGCTGCTTCTCCGATTCGCTTTGTGGTGTGTCCAAAAATAAACGTATTCAACACTACGAGTTCACCTTCTGATTTCTAAACCGTTAGACGCCATTTAGTAACGATTGTCTGGACGAGCTAATTACCACCGAACTTAAGAACACGCGTTATATCGATACATTACTCATAGACTTATCAGTTGATCTTGAGATTACATTTCCCACCCGGGAATTCCTTGACTGTTAATTGGTTGATGTATTATTTTAGTACGCTGCTTTTTGTGGCTGTCCCAAGGACATTTCTCTGATGTATAAATAAACTCGATTTGTGTGCTTGTTAACCTCGTGCTTTTCTGGGTGCTTGTAGAATACACTTTCTACGCCTCATCAAGATTTCTTCCTCTACTTAGTGCTGGGGCCTTCAGACGCTCGGATTAGAGTAGTAGCCTACCGTGTCACTGAATGATCATTTGTCTTCGCTCTCGTTTATCGACTAAGATGAACTCGTAATAGCACCATTAAAGCATATCAAATTGTTTATTGAATTATTATACTTTGTACATTTTGAATTGGTTTTTTATTTTCCTAAACAAATTTTATTATTTTAAATCATAGGAATTAAATTGTACATGTCGTATAATGCATCAACGTATTATGGAATTTTTAAGTCAAGTAGCTGATGAAGAAGTGACCACATGTTTAATTCAAATGAATGATAATTTAACAAATGCTCTATCACGGTAAGTTTTCTGTTTTACTCGTAAAACAAAAAGAAATTCTATATATTGAGTATTGTAATGTTTATGTTGTAAAATTGTTGGCGCGATGTACATTTAATTCTCTGTGCAATGTTTTCTCTGTGATCTGCATATTTTTACTTGTGATCTTGAGGATTTCAAGCTACTGCTTGCCTTGTTGTAGTGAAGGAGAACACAGGTGAGGGCAACCGAATTGTATTTAACGAAAATTACTCTCAGTAAAATAGGAAAACCATATCGTAAACAGTTAATTTGCAAATCTTCAATCCATCATCAATCCATTGTTGTCTGACATTTCACTCTGTTCATGCGTTTCATACAAATTCCATTTTGTTCCCCCCACTCTTCTTACTTTCTTGATCTTCCCCCATCTTCTGCTGCCAGACATTACGTTTACACTCACGTCATATACTACTTATAAGTAGTGCGCACCCCATTGTGACATAGATGGGTGATCTCCTCAACATATGTTCTATCCACATATTTCCATGCGGAGCGTTGTAATTTGCTATTTATTTTGACAGTTAGTTTGTTACACATTTGAAATCATCAGTCAATCAATGTTGGAAACCTGGAAGCACTGGAAGGCCGTTTCGTCTTTCTGGTATGCGACTCGTCAGTTAGTGTGTTTTCTGCCACGGTAGGTTTCTGTTGACACTGTCTGACTAATGGAATCAACAATATTTTGCTGAGACAACTATTCATAAACACTTGTACACCTTTTGAATGATGGTTGCACTCTATACAATAAAACTGCTTTGACCTTTGGATTGAGAATCTCGACTTTGGTGTTGATTAGAATTTGTTTTGAATCCTGGATGTTATTTAGTGTGTTCGTTGTGTTATGTTACGACCTGTGCGTTCAAATCGTAATGATTGTAAAGCAAGTTGTATGATCTCTCTCTTTCTCCCTCCTATACGATCATCGATTAATTTACCTATATTGATAGTAGGACTAGTGATATTCCAGTCAGTCAGTCAGTTGCAACGTAGAACTTCGTACGTGTGTACATAAGTTCATGTTGCCATACCACATTATTAGCACAGAGACGCAAATGTCAAATCAAATCCCATAGTGATAAAGATAGTAGAGGTATTAATGGTAATGAAGTCGACTAGTAGGGTTTGAAGATATTATTCAAGAAGTATAATTCAGTGAGATAAGGTTAGAAAAAGAAAGATAGAGGTGCTGACGAATCCAGAAGATTAGGATTTGAGAGAGCAAAATGCATAGATGTACCATTGATGCGCCATTGCAAACGATTTTGAGCCATGTCATTCAAGGTCTCTAACCATCGGTTACTATTGTCTCGTGAACACCGACCAGGTAGTCTTCATCTACCAATATGATTCAATCCACTTGTCGGTGATTTCATGGATTTTTGGCATGTTTTGTTCTGGCCCCCCTAGCTTTCTTCAAACATACTCCCACACCACAAAACATAGCTCGTCGAGGCAGTCGGTGGTTGGGCATAAGCAGCACATGTGTTAACAACCTGAACTGATGAACTTTCAGCACTTCATCTATTGAACTGCCATCCTTACCTAGCCCCCGTTTCCTAAAGACAGCATTGCTTATACGGTTGTCCCACGATATACGAGCAATACTTCTAAGACATCTCTGATCGAATACTAGTAACCTACGAATATCTGCTACTCTCACTTGCCATGTTTTACAACCATAAAGTAAGGTGGAGGGAACTACTGCGCAGTATACTCGTCCTTTAGTCAGCAAACGGATATCTCACCTACGTCATAAATGACGCAGGTTGACAAAAGCTAATCGACCTTTCTGTATCCGCGCTGATATTTTGTCAGTCACCAGGCCATCAGCACTGATGAGACTCCCAAGATAAGTGAAGCGGTCTACACGCTCGACTATTTCACTCCCTATCACTAGTTCAGGTACCGATGCAACCCAATCTTGAAGCAACATTTTGCATTTCGAGGGTGAGAACCGCATCCCGAACATGCTTGGATTGTTGCTTATGGTAGTCAGAAGACTCTGCATTTTGTCAGCGTCTTCACCAAGTAGAACTATGTCATCGGCATATTCTAGGTCAGTAAGCGATTTACCTTGGTAGAAGGTCAAAGTGATATCCCAAGTATTCATTGACTTGTCGATCAATAAAAAACACACGAAATATTAAACCTTAGTGATCATCAAGTTCATTCTATCCACAAGAGATCAGACAGAAATTGAAGATCAGAAACGGATTAGTTGATATATTTTGTACTCAAATCAGTTTGTGACTTAATAGTTGCGCAATAACATACATGGAATATATCTGATCAAACAGAAACATGATTGAAAAATTACAACATAGTTACTCAAAAAATTAAGATTATCGAAGAATCGTTAAAAAAGAAGATAATTCTCATATTTTTTCATTCTAAGATTGTGAAGATTGTTGCTTTTCATTGAAATCATGAATCGGTCAATGTTAGACCACTATTAGAAACCTGGAAACACTGAAACACGGCCGTTTCATTCTGCTATGGGACTCATCAGCAGTGTGCATCCGCGAACGCTTTAAACATCCAGACCGATAAGTTAGCATCCAACGATTTTAGGACTTGCACTACTGAAAAGTCTCATATTAGGACGAAACAACTGTTCAATGCTCACAGTCTAACAGTAGTCTAACAGTGATTCATTATTCTTGTTTGAAACCATGAATCGATCAATTGAGTCGTGGATGCGCACTGCTGAGGAGTCTCATACCAAGACGAAACGGCCGTCCAGTGCTTGTTCCAGGTTTCTTAGGTGGTCTAACATTGATCGATTCATGGTTTCAAATGAAACTTAACAATCTTCACTACAACCCCGTAATCCAAATTACCTGTGCTCACTAGTGACTAGCTTCGTGAGTAATCTTTTCCGAGTTCTAGTGAGAAGACGTGACCAGTGAAGTTCAACCTGTTCGGGTGTAGACAGTAACTACTACCGAAGACTGTGTATGAGGTTGCGCAACTCAGTGAATTGATCAGGTTAGACATTAACAAAACCGTTAGATACCGGCTCAGTGACCCGATGATTAGGCGTTCGCCTACAATACCGAAGGTCCTGGGTTCGAATCCTTCGGGGTGCAGGAGTTGTGGATGCGCACTGCCACTGAATGATGAGTCCCATACCAGGACAAAACAACCGTCTTTCAGTGCTTCTTCCAGGTTTCTGCTAATGATGTTGGTCTAACAATGATCGATTCATGGTTTCAATTAATAATTTAGAACGTTTCAATACTCTGAACAAGAATAATCATTGTACAAATCCATCACTCAATCTCTCTCATTGTGTGTGTATATTCAGTTTCTTTTCACAAATCATACCTTTTTACTATTTTTCTGTCTTGTTATATATCAGTTAACAGAATCGATTGTTGATTGACCATTAATGTTCATTGTTCAATTCTACATACATAAAAAGACAACAACAACAACATTGAAACATTCATTCACTAGTTCATTTATTATTTTATTATTTCAAATGATTTATTTTATTAACTCAATATTCCCAAATGATAGACATATTGGATGTTTGTCTATCGCTCACTCACTCTCTCTGTGTCTCTCTCTCTCTATGTCTGTCTGTCTCTCTCTCGCTATGTCTGTCTCTCTCTCGCCTTATTTCCACTACCAGTGTGTGTTGGTTGCATGTCTTTTTTCGACTGTTCACAGAGTCAATTCATATTTTGCCACAATTATTATTGACAATATAGTTGTTCTCTATCCAGTCATGATAACTACAATTACTACTGCTACTACTACGACTACATCACACTCATCCCGTTCTCCCTTTTGTCTATGTGTTGATGATAGATACAAGCAGAGGTAGAGAGAGAGACAGAGAGAATTGTGTAAACCGATAAATTTCTGTTTAGTTTCAATTTTCCCTTCTACCATTATGGTGTGAGCTACTTATAAGTAGTATATGACGTGAGTGTCAACGTAATGTCCGGCAGAAGAGAAGATGGGGGAAGATCAAGAAAGGAAGAGTTAGTTAGAACACAATGGAATTTGTATGAAACGCATGAATAGTGACAATGGATTGTTGATGTTTTACAACAGGAACAGTCCAGTTCGATATGATGGACTGATATTTTGCAAATTAACAACGATTTACGATATGGTTTTCCTGAGTTTTACTGAGTAACTCTGTAATTTTCGTTAAATACAATTCGGTTGCCCTCGCCTGTGTTCTCGTTCACTACACCACTACTACTACTCACACGAATAATATTAATAATAATAACACTACATAACTCATCTATTTACTTTCATCTCAGCCATCTGATCCCACTATATATATATCTCTCTCTCACTGTTTGTCTTAATGAGTTCTTATACTTCATACTTTTCAACGGAACACTTCGAGTATTGTTGTTTTTATGTGTAAGTTTCGAGTAGGAAAATTGCATTTTCACACAATAGTTAGGCATATGTAATGAGTATAAATGAATATTTCTGTAGAATAGATTGAATGTCGATAGCAATTTAATCCTAAACACCTGCTATGTCCTATTCGAGATAGTTTAGCTGAATGTACTTGCAATCACTTCGGGACTCGAACCCGATACCATGTACTTTTTTTAAACGGTCATCGCACTATCCACTATTAACAACATTCTATACATTTACTCTAATAATCAACTCGTGTTATAATGACTTTATGGAGACCATCTGCATAGGATGCTTATCAAGATTCCAATCGGAATACCCATTTCTGCCTATTTGAGACTAATCAATCGGATGTCCTTGCATCCAAAAGTTGAAATCCACGCCGAGACCATCTGCATAAAATGCTCATTGAGATGCTAACCAAGGTGAAAAAATATCAACGACGGACTTAGAAAATGAATATTGAACTATTGCGAATCGGTGGTATATATATTTCAAGTTTCAGTACATTTATTTATATTTTCATAAAAAAAAAACACAGAATGTATCTCAAAACTTTTTTTGTGAAAAATCTACGGAAACTTTTATTTCGTGTAAGTTATAAATAGCGTTAGGATATTCATCCAATATCCTAAGAGAATTGTTGATCATTTCCTATTGGTTAATTCCTACTGGTCAATTTTTATGGTCGTCCTAGTAGATATCAATGTCACGTGCTTCGATGTTGTTTCCCATTGGTCGTTCTGACTATCAATGTCGCTTCAAATGTTGTTTCCTATTGGTCGTCCTAACTGTCAATGTCACAGACTTCGATGCTGTTTCTCATTCGACCAAAATGTATAAATACGCATTATCTGTAACGTTTTATGACCAGGACCAGGATCCGGCCCCGGATCCTGTTTCTCTTCTGGATTCGGACCTCGTACTTTCTGAATGCTTGTCGTCTTTTACTCATCATGGGGTTGGGATAATCGGATTTGATAGTAGCATGTCGTGTCGCCGGATCCTCGATCCTCCCTTACGTTTTCCGACTATGGTAAACTCGTACTAGTTCAAATATATATCAAGTTGACGTGTTTACGTGCAGGCACGTAACAAATAGACAGCCAAAAATTTTTATAAATCTTGTCGTCGTCATCATCACTGAACATCGAACATGTCAGTTTTTAGCCATTCTCCTATAACTGTACAAATCATCACACATTGAATATTGAACACATAACATTGGGCAATTTTGTTTTAAAGGGTTGTACAGATTTCAAAACTGTTGATGATTAATATTTTCTGGTCAAACTTGAAGTTTGTCATGAAAAAGATTGAAGATGTATTTGAAGGATGGTTCTAGCTAGATGTTGATGAAGAACTGATCTAAGCTTGGTTAGCTCAATAAACATTACCAGTCCTGATGACTAATATTTTCTAGTTAATACGACTTGGGGTTTTTCCCGGACTAACATGTGTTCTATACAGATGAGCGCTTTTAGTGTGTGTAGTTGACTTACTTACTTACTTACCTACTTGCACTTGTTACCCCAAATCGAGCATAGACCCGCCGACCAATATTCTTCAACCACCTTTGTCTTAGACCTAACATTCCAGTTTTACCCAATTCATGACTGCTTCCGATTCTTGGAATTATGTGTTCTTTAGTCTTCCTTTTTTTCCTTTGGCCTTGATAGTTTCAAATGAGGGCTTATCTTGTGACGCAGCTGGGTGCTTTCCTCAATCGATGTCCTATCCAACTCTAATGCTTTTTTCTAGCCTCCTCTCCATCATTAACGACATTCATCGTTCAATGTACCTACCTAATTTCATAATGATTTGAATTTGTTTAAATGATTCGCTCCGTCCTACTCTACGGATGCGGCGAGACTTGGCAGATAAGAGTAAAGGACATTCGTAGGTAACTAGTCTTCGATCATCGATGTCTCCGAAGCATTGCTCGTGTATCATGGGACAACCGTATAAGCAACGATGTCGTTAGGAAACGAGTTCTAGGTAAGGATGGCAAATCAATAGATGAAGTTGTGAAACTTGATCAGTTGAGATGGTTGGGACATGTGTTACGTATGGCTAACCACCGACTGCCTCGACGAGCTATGTTTTGCAGTGTAGGAGTAGATTGGAAGGAAGCTAGAGGCGGCCAAACCAAAACATGGCACAAATGCATGAAGTCACTGACACGTGGACTGAGTCATGTTGGTAGATGTAGGCTACCTGGTTTGGGTCTACAAGACTATAGTAATCGATGTTTAGAGACCCTGAGTGACATGGATCAAAACCGTTTGCAATGGCACAGGTGCATTTAATCTTTGTGTTTTATGAAATGCTAACCTTTTGAATTCCTCATAATCTCTACCTTTCTCCTTCTAAATTTACCTCACTGAATTATACTTCTCGTATCATATTCTTGCTCCCTAATCTTCTCCATTACTGCTAATACTTCTACTATCGCTATCACTCTTGGATTTGAACTGACAGTTGTGTCTCTGTGCTGATGTGGTATTGGGCAACGTGAACTGATGTACTTATGTACGAAGTTCTGCGTTGTATCTGTCTGTCTGTGCCTTGTTTAAATGATCATAAAACATGTCATTGATATTCAAAATTCAATAATGATTTTGTGCTAAGACCTAGTCAAACTATAAATCGCCTAGAAAGAGATCGAAAATATATTTGAAGGATGGTTCTGGATGTCGAGGAAGGAATGATCTAAGGCTGGCTAGCTGATATGAGAGAATGAATAGCTCCATCTTTTCAATGAATGATTTGATGCGGATGCATGACCGGCTGGAGTTAACATTGATCAATGTCAAAGACTTTCATAAATATACGTTACATAAATAATTATTTATAAACACATTTCATCGTTGATTGATCAGATCAGATATTTTCTTTTTCATTCCCTTATCTATCGACAGTTATGATCGTTTTGAACGATATTATCAACGTGCACTGGAAAATTCCAACCACGACAATGAACAAATTCATTCGAGGCCGACACAATTATGCTTAACTGCTTCATCACATAATCCACCTAATTTAAGACATCATCGAACAACAACTAATCCTTCTTCTCATTGTCATCATCATCATCATCATCATCAACAAGAACGTCCACAACCACAACAGCAACAACAGTTAGCAATTACAGCAGGTCCACTCTCTTCACATCATACAACACGGAATGAATCGTCTGCATTGAATGATGTTACACTGAGTCGATTGGATGGTTCACACAATCATCATCGTTTAGAATTGATGAATGGTAATCAGAATACAAATCCTTATTTGGCCACTGCCATCACCGACAGTCATCATCATCATGCGAATGCTGATGAGGATGACGATGACGATGATGATGAAAGTTTATTGGATATAAGTGAAGGTCCAAGTGATGGTGGTGTTAGGGTAAGTCATCTCAACCTCCTTCTTTCTCTGTATCTCTCTCTCTCTGTGTCGTTTACTGTTAACCTCTTTGATTAATAATGAATTGTGTTGTGTTTTAATTTTCGTGAAATGGATCATACCTTAAGAAGAAAGCATTTGACTCCATGCAATTGATGAAAACTATGAAAACGTCAACAGCTGGAGGGAAGCACGGTATACAATGGATAGCTAGGACGCAGCTGAACTATCTGGTCTTCGCAGATGACTTGGCTCTTCTATCGCACACGCAACAATAAATGCAAGAGAAGACGGCCGGTGCAGCAGCAGCCTCTGCAGCAGTAGGTCTCAACATACATAAAGGAAAAAGCGAAATTCTCCGATGCAACACAACATGCACCAACCAAATCACTCTTGATGGAGATGCCTTGGAGGACGTTAACACCTTTACATATCTGGGCAGCATCATCGACGAGAAAGGTGGATCCGATGCAGATGTGAGGGCGCGGATTGGCAAAGCGAGGGCTGCATTTCTACAATTGAAAAATATCTGGAACTCAAAACAACTTTCAAACAAAACCAAAATAAGGATTTTCAATACAAATGTGAAGACATTTCTACTGTATGGAGCGGAAACATGGAGAACTACCAAACCCATCATCCAGAAGATACAAGTATTTATGAACAGTTGTCTTCGCAAAATACTTCGGATTCGTTGGCCAGACACGATCAGCAACAACGTACTGTGATAGGAGAACAAACCAGATTCCAGTGGAGGAGGAACTCAGAAAGAAGTGGTGGAACTGGATAGGACAGACATTGAGGAAATCACTGAACTGCGTCACGAGACAAGCCCTTACGTGGAACCCTCAAGGCAATAGGAAAAGAGGAAGGCCAAGGAACACATTACCCCGAGAAATAGAGAAAGATATGAGAGGAATGAACAAACATTGGACAGAACTGGAGATGGAAGCCTAGGACAGAGTTGGTTGGAGAAAACTGGTTGGGCGGCCTATGCTCCATTGAGGGTAACAGGCGTAAGTAAGTAAGTATTTTGTGGTTGTCGTAGTAATAGTAGTAGTATAAGACTGATTAGTACAAATGTATTAACCAACCGGTGATCGAAAACACTGATGTGTTATCATAGTCAAGTTAATTTTGTGCGTTGTTAGGAGTATGCGGGTGGATGTCACTTCTCGGTTACTCACATCATGGAAGGAACATGGATTAGTGTTGATCTTAGCGTTTTAGGACCGTGATAACTGAATCCGATAGACATCTACTTATAGCTGATCACGAATGGGTTTTTTATGTGAAGATTTTAACGTATTGTCTTGGCTGTTGAAGACGAAAATCCATGAGGTAAGGTGAGGTTTGACATTTTGCAGGTTGATCTTCCTTGTGAGACAGCAGCATCACTGCAGATGCTGGTTGTCTCAGGGAAAGATGTGACTGCCGTCACATCGCTTTATACTCAGCAGTAGGACTTCACCCTCAGACCTTGAGTTGCTGCTTTTAGTTTCACCGGCATATTGAACTGTTCGTACAAGATGAAGTGAAATCTCTGGGTCACCAAAATCTTAGAAAAAAAAGTTGTATTTCATGGATTTTTAAACAGATAACTATTAAAATAAAAAAAAATCGGTAACAGTAGACTTTCCTTCTAGTTCAAACTGAGAACTACTGGATATTAATTCCATGATTCAAAGGTTTATAGGCATACTTCATGAAACTTAAACAATCTAATTTCAATCAATATAGGTTGTGCATTACTGTGTAGTTCCATTCCAGATGTGAGCAATAGTTTTCTAACTTAGTTTATTTCTGATGAATGCCATGGCAGTTAGTGGTGTAAAAGTCACTCTTTCTCGTGCAAAAACATTGGATCCCAGGGTTCATTTCTCTATTGAGAACTCGTACATGAGCACATACTAGTATAGCAAGATACAGTTTATTTACAAAAAATATGTACATGTATAGTCTGCAGTCATTGATTTGCAATCAAAACAGGTTATCAGCTGTTTTCTCTTTAATACATCTTCCAGTCTTCAAAATACTCTGATAACTCTAGGCATAACGATCACCTGAAATTATTCTCTTGTGGTGGCCAATTTCGATGTGTTCCTAGGCTTCGTGATTAGCTCGTCCAGACAATCGTTACTAAATAGCGTCTGACGGTTTATAAATCAGAAGGTGAACTCGTAGTGATGAATACGTTTATTTGGGACACACTCACAAAGCGAAGCGGAGAAGCAGTGAATAAAACGAATGAAACGACGTGAATTGGAGAAGGCTAATGGGCCAGCTCCAAGAGATAAAGCATGACTAAGAATATATAGTCAGACAAATATAAGACAGACATGTGACAAGTGAAATAGGCACACATGAAAAAAAGCAACGAATGATTGACAAGGTCAAATGACACGTCATGTGAGCTCATACAAACCAGACAATAATAATAAGAACGAATGGTACATACAGATTGTTGCTCACACTACAAATGGCTTGGTTAAATAAATTGATCAAAAGGGCTTAACCAAATTAAATGTAAGCGAACTGGAATATTATGTGTGGAGGCACTACACCCTCCCTCTCTATTCTAACGACTTCTGAGTGATGGATGCTCTGATGCATACTACGTATATGATATCTTTATGTGTGGCATCCCCCACACATTAGCACGAAATGGCTATTTTTTTTTACAATGAATGAATGATCTAACTAAGATCACAGTTCATATGAGAAGTAAATTACGAGAGAGAGTGTGTGTGAGAATATCGATTTTTTTACCCTTTGGTTCTCTTCTTCTTCTTCTTTAGTCTCTCACCACCAGATCACATGATTCTGATGATACAGATGAAATTGCTCAATGGTTAGCTAGTCGACAACTTATCCCTGTAAGTTCACCTCCTGCTCCTCCTCTTGCTCTTGCTCCTGCTGCTCCAACTCCATCTCAACATCAACAACAACAACAACAACATCGACACAGTCATCGTCATTTTCAACAACAACACCAACAACCACAGTCGGCCACTATAAACAATCGATCACATTCATGTGTACAAACAAATCAGTTAACTGCTATTACAAACAGTCCTAATACAACAACTACTACTACAGGAGCTACAACAGGTGTTTCATTATCGACAACACAGAGTTTATCCAGTAAATCAATTCATGTAAGCGAAGAATTTTGTATTTTGTTTCTATAGTGGTGGTTTGTTTTGAAAGTTGATCTCAGTTGAAATATCATTGCAAACTTTCAAAGATTCGATATGTGTATTTTCTCTTAAATTGAAATAAATCAAGAAGTGAATAAGGTTGAATTACCATTGGAAACTTGTTCTGAGTTCGATTCCCACTGCTCATGAGTCCCATCCTAGGACAAAGTGGCTGCTCAGTGCTTCCAAATTCAGTTCATGATTTCAATAAAACTCTGTATTGAATATGTTCTCCTAGTATAAGACTTCTCAACAGGGTGAGTGTAAGATCAAAACTGAGGTTTGGACTGAGGAATAACTGTCTAGGTAGATTAGATAAGCATCTTGACCAGTTTAAATCCAAAACAAGTGATTTGGGTAAATAACGGTTCTAATATTCATCATAAATATAAATATATACATCATTACTTACACAAATATTACCACTTAGTTATTCCACCAACAATTGTTCAATTATTCAAATAAATGTTATTCTATTCCTCCTGGATAGATCAGATTCGCATTACGAGGTTGTTGTGAAGATTGTTAAGTTTTATTTGTAACCATGAATCGATCATTGTTAGACTACCATTAGAAACATGGAACAAGCACTGGACGGCCGTTTCGTCCTGGTATGGGACTCCTCATCAGTGCGCACCCACGACTCCTGCACCCCACAGTATTCAAACCCAGGATCTTCGGTATTGTAGGCGAACGCCCAACCGTCAGACCACTGAGCCGCTATCTAACGGTGTTGATGTCTAACTTGATCAATTCATGGAGTTGCGCAACCTCATACACAGTCTTCGGTAGTTACTGTCTACACCCAAACAGGTTGAACTTCACTGGTCACGTCCTCCTACTAGAACTCGGAGATCCCTCACTGCTGAGGAGTCCTATACCAGGACCAAACGGCCGTTCAGTGCTTACAGGTTTCTAATGGTGGTCTTCCATTGATAGATTCATGGTTTCAAATAGATCAGATTCGTTCGACAGATAATATTTGGTTGCTTTATAACACAGAGTGCTTCAATTCACAATCAAAATGCACAATTCCAGTCCGTACAAGCAGTCGAGTCAGTAGAGGAACAAATCAATATGGCTGTCGCCATGACTAAGTATCAGCTTAAACAACATAATAAATGCAATTCAGAAAGAAACATAGAAACTTAGTGAAGGCAAAAGAAATAGAAACTATAATCAAAAATACAAATATTATCATCTCCGGAAAGGAATTGAACAGATTAACAAAATGTACAACTGAAAGGAATCAACGACAACATATTAAAAATTTATACGTGGAGGGATTTTCGCAAACAAAGCCTTCAAAAAATGGATCTTACTGTGAGGCTCCTATCAGACATCGCATGACACAATATTTCAATGAGAAACTGATTGAAGTTAATCAATGATGAATAACGTTTACAAATTAAACGAATCTTCATAAAATTTTAATTATCATGTTGATGTTTGAAAGAATTCAAAATTTAACTCTTAATTCAAACTGACAAAGTTTGAAAAAAACAACAAGTCAAACATTATTAGTTAGTTTAAATGAACATTGAATTTTGAAATATGTCCTTGTAGAGTGGTTCAATGTTGAAATGGTGGAAAAAATGTGTAGCTCAGTTGGGTATGATTAATGATACGGATTGGTTCTGTGTGAGTTTGATGTAGTTTGGTTGTAGAGTTTTCATTGTTCACCTGAACAATACCACATCAGCAGCAGCAGCAGTACAAACTTCAGGTTGAGAAGTGAAGTATTCGCATTTCTGCGTGTATGACTTGAAGCTTGTCTTGTTTACCTCAATCTTGATTGGTTGTTATTGACCGTGAACCTATTTCGTCATGTTAATCAGGTGTGGAGATTGAAGCTCACGAACAGTTATATCGGGCTCTATGTTGATAGTATTTATTTGTCTCTGTCAGAATTTGAAGTAAAAAACACTGGCGATGAACAGATCGAAGATGTGATTGACTTCAGTGGAATTCATCCGAATTCTAATATTGATGTTAACCTTGAAATTTGGAGTGAGTACCTTTCGCTATGAATAAGCGGACTCACCATCCATCAGGCTGCTGAGTCCAAGTAGCCACCAACTTGTTCAAAAAACATGAAGTTGAAAATGGATTATAGCTAACATTGGAATCAATGACGCAGGTTTCATTTCATTTGGGATTTGTCATCAGTTGAATTTACCTACATCTCAGTATTATTGTTCACTCCGGGACTCGAACTCAGTACCTTGCATTTCAAATACCATCCCAATTATCCACTTAGTTACTGAATCCAAAGAGCCGCTAACTTGTGCAATCGTAAGAAGTTAAATCCGGTTTTTTTTAAAATCCTCTCAATGATTTTTAAGATACAAATACATCCAGTTTACGACGAATCCCAAATAAAATCAGTCATGCGTTCTGTGTCCCACTTGTAGTGTGTATACCAATATACTGAACCCACAGGGCTTGTCCTAGCTTTTAGAGTAAGATTAAATGATCTTTTCTGTCCAAGTTACTAGTCACACTTCTTTTAACCTTGTCAATTAATCACTGTGTACATTGCTTACTTCTCTCATCACATATCACGTGAAATTTCGTGTGGCTATCAATACTAAGCCATACCTCACATATCCAGTTGACTCAATCACCTTCTCCATTTCGTTACGCCTTACTTTTCTCATATCTGTCTGCATTAATGATCACATAAAATAAACTCATACAATTACAACTGTAATTTGACTTCTTATTATCGCCGTCACATAAACCACGTTCACTTAATCATATAACCTCTCTACTCGAACACCACTAGTCGAGTGAGAGCTTATGGCGAACTGTCACCGGAATTCTGCACTTCAAGTGGTGTCCATCAGGGATGTCCACTTTCTCCATTCTTATTTAATTTTATCATAGACATGCTCCTAGAAATAACCTTATCGTCGTCTGAATTTTCAGGAGTAGAGATTTTACCTGCTGGCTCGCTTATTGACTTAGAATATGCCGATGACATAGTTCTATTCGGTGAAGACGCTGACAAAATGCTGAGTCTTCTGACCACCCTAAGCAACAATGCAAGCATGTTCGGGATGCGGTTTTCCCCCTCGAAATACGAAACGTTGCTTCCAGACTGGGTTGCATCGGCATCTGAACTATTGATAGGGAGTGAAGTAGTCGAACGTGTAGGACGCTTGACTTATCTGTGGAGTCTCATCAGTGCTGATGGCCTGTATACTGACGAAATCCCAGCACGGATACAGAAGGCTCGATTGGCTTTTGCCAACCTGCGTCACTTATGGCGTAGGCGAGATATCCGTTTGCTACCTAAAGGACGAGTGTACTGCACAGTAGTTCGCTCCGTTTTACTTTATGGCTGTGAAACATGGCCAATGAGAGTAGAAGGTATTCGTAGGTTATTGGAAGATCAATAGATGAAGTAGTGAAACTTCATCAGTTGAGGTGGTTAGGACATGTGTTGCGTATGCCTATCACCGACTGCCTCGAAGAGCTTTGTTTCGTAGTGTAGGAATAGGTTGGAAGAAAGTTAGGGGTGGCCAAACCAAAACATGGCATAAATCCATGAAGTCATTGACAAGTGGACTGAGTCATGTTGGTAAATGTAGGCTACGTGGTTGAGGTCTGCGAGACGAAAGTCATCAATGGTTAGAGACCTTGAACGACATGGCTCAAAATGGTTTGAAATGGCGCAGGTGCATCCATTCGTTGTGCTCTCTCAAATCCTAATCTTCTGGATTCATCAACCCCTTTAGTTTTGACTTTCTAAACTTTTCTCACTGAATCATACTTCTTGAATAATATCTTCTAATCCTAACCTCTCCGATTACTTCTAATACCTTTACTACCTCTACTACTATTGGATTTGGATTGACAATTATATCTCTGTGCTGATGTGAAATGGCAACATGAACTGATGTACTTACGTACGAAGTTCTACGTTGCATCTGACTGACTGACTGACATATTCTAAACAGAAATTGTGAAGGGAAGATTTATCCGGCAGCATATTCGATGGTTGTTAGATTTTATTGATTACTGACTGTGTCACTGACAAGTGTGATCTGTCTTTTTTTATTGATTTTTTCCCCTTCTTTTTTTAGTCTCATCAATCGCTGCATCATGAATTGTTGTAATCACAAGTAAGTAAGTCCACAACCAATCATCAATCATCCATTAGGTGGTTACGTAATAATGAGAATTAAACAGAATTTTATGTGAATAAATTTCATATTTTTTTAAATCGTAATCAATAATCACTGATAAAAACAAATTCATTATATACAATTGTGGAGATTGTGCTTAAAAGCTTCGTTTCGAAATCATAAAATCGATTGTTGTTAGTGACTGACTACATGAGAAAATTCACGAAGTTCTAGTGAGAAGCTGTTCTGTGAGCAGTGAAGTACAACCCTGTTGGATGTAAGGCAGTAGTTAGTAGTTCGTTGAAGACAATGGGTGAGGTTGCACAATACTTTGTTTGTATTCAGTAAACTTAGTTAGACAATATCACTTTTGGATGATAGCTCAGTGGTCTAAAGATTAAGTGTTCATCCATGAGACCAAAGTTGCTGGAGTCATGGACGCACACTACTGATGAGTCCCATACTCGGACGAAACAGCTGTCCATTGCTTCCAGGTTTCTAATCGAGGTCTTCCATTGATCAATTCATAATTTCACTGAAATTCAGTTCAAAATCTGTGTAAGAACAGATCACTGAACATTGATCAATGTGATGATATCTTTTGATTGGTTCAATCATGAACACAGATGTTAAACTGATCACGAATAGAAATTATTGAATAACTGTTGCGTCATATGATTATGAAATTTCATAGCAGTTGTCTATCCTTCAATATATATTTCACAAGGAAGTTAAAATGGAAACTCTCGATTCTTGCACACGAATCTTGTGATACTTACTCACTACTTACGCCAGTTAACCCCAATGGAGCATTGGCTGCCCACCAGTTTTCTCCAACCAACTCTGTCCTGTGCTTCCCTCTCCAGTTTTGTCCAATGTTTGTTCATTCCTCTCATATCTTTCTCTATTTGTCGGCGTAATGTATTCTTTGGCCTTCCTCTTTTCCTTTTGCCTTGAGGGTTCCATGTGAGGGCTTGTCTCGTGACGCAGTTGAGTGCTTTTCGTCATGTGTGTGTCCTATCCACTTCCACCGCTTCTTCCTCATTTCCTCCTCCACTGGAATCTGGTTTGTTTTATCCCACAGTTCGTTGTTGCTGATGGTGTCTGGCCAAAGAATCCGAAGTATTTTCCGTAGACATCTGTTCATAAATACTTGTATCTTCTGGATGATGGCTTTGGTAGTTCTCCAAGTTTCCGCTCCATACAATAGAACTGTCTTCACATTTGTTTTGAAAATCCTTATTTTTGTTTTGGTTGAAAGTTGTTTTGAGTTCCAGATATTTTTCAATTGTAGAAATGCAGCCCTCGCTTTGCCAACCCGTGCCCTCACATCTGCATGACGGAATCTTGTGATATTTTATTGAAATTCAAATCGTGAACTGATTCAAATTAGACAACTTTTGGAAATATAAAAAGATTAGGTGTGTCTATTTCGTCCTAACAAAGTTTGGCTCCGTAAATTTGCAACCAGGAATCGGTCTCAGAACTTTTTGTTTTGCACATGAAGGTATAACCTTCAATTCACTTTGAGCAGCCATTAATGGTGCATAATAATATACCTTGAACCTCAATCAGTTTAGCGATGTCCTCGGTCACTATTTACCTCACACTCGATTTGTTTGAACTCTGCTGGTCATGGCTTCTCATTCTAATACTCGTTATCGATGTTTGCAGCCTTCAGTCTGAAACCTTCATAAACATATGTACACGGTTACTGTGTTAACTGGATCAAGATCGTAAACTCACTCGTAGTGACATTACCAGAGTATGAACGCCTCATTAATCTGTAACGTGACACGTCTGTGATTCAGAATGGTGTATCTAGTTGATCTGAAATACGTGTAGTGCAATAGGCACCTGAACAGAACAACATTCCCCTTGCTACACCCAGCCCATGCCAATCCAGCTCAGTCTGACAGCAGATAACGAATCACCCTGTTCCCTACTGGTACTGTGGTGCATGGCACTATGTGCGAGGCTGCCCATTTAGGCAACATCGATGCAGAAAGTGTACAGTCACAGATCATAAAGACGGTTTTTGTCTTGAGAGGAAGCCAAACCGATCCAGAAGTACCAAAACGACTGTTCCTAGATACAGTACCAGTTCGCTGAGCCTAATATCTTCTTGTCAAAGCTCATCACCAGATGAGAGGAAATTCATCACCCTTAATATTAATGAGCATTCGTTTACACTGCAGATAGATACAACATCAGACGTCATCATTCTCTCACGTAAAATTTAGGCCGAAATAGGCTGCCCAAGAATGCAGCGAACAACAAACAAGCCTTGTACTGTATGTGATATTGTTAGGATATTCACCCAATATCCTAAGAGAATTATTGGTCAATTACTATTGGTCAATTCCTACTAGTCAATTTTAAGGTCGTCCTAGATATCAATGTCACGTGCTCCAATGTTGTTTCTTATTGGGTATCCTGAATTTCAATGTCACTTCAAATGTTACTTCACTGTCAATAGCATAGACTTCGATGCTGTTTCCTATTCGACCTAAATGTATAAATACGCATAATCTGTAACGTTTTATGACCAGGAAGAGGACCAGGAACCGGTCATGGATCCCTAATCCATGATCATCATTCTCTTCCGACTAGGTAAACTCGTAATAGTTCAAACATATCAAGTTGACGTGTTTACGTACAGTCATAACAGATAGTTAACTTCGTTTGTTAATTAGTTTGTAAATTAGTTCGGCATTATACAGCATTTGGTTTGTACGACATGAAATGACACTTGGTCATTTCGAAAAAGTGAATGAAACCGAAATATGTTGAATGAAAATATTTATTGGAATGAAAGTTTCATGGTTATTAATCCCAGATTCATTTATCTACAATGAAAAATGGTAACGAAACGAAATTATTCATCAGTGTTGATGAAGTGACAGTGTCACAATGATTTAGATGTTCAACTTTCGTCTCTTATAATACAGGTTTGAGGGCCTGTACACTTATTTCACTATCGATAACCAGATGTCAGCAATAGAGCTGGTTTCCTAGAGCTTTGACTGACTACAAAGCTAATTACAGCAATCTGTACTTGGCAAGTTGGTAGTTCATTTAGGTGATGAGATGTGCATAAGTGTGGTTGTACATTATTCTCCTAATATCGAATGTGATGTAGAGAGAGAGAAATGTATGCTTCGAGATGAAAATTAACACTGGTTTACACACACCTTTGTGTTTCACATCAATTAAAATGATATGACACCTAATACATGTGTTTTATGTTGGATTGTAAATTGTTCTGTGTGTCTTGTTTCATGGAAATGCTTGTCTGATGTGCTTTGAAGTGTATTACAATGTGAAACTATTCAAGAGGAACTAACATGAATCAATTACCGACAAGGAAGGATTTCCGCATGAGATTTCGTACAATTCCGATCAGATTTGTGTCACGGAATATGCAACTATGTACAACGCGGTAAGCAGCTTTCAATGATCAACGAACGATTCAGAACTTCAGTAAAATACAAATCACAATCAATCAAGAACATACTGAGACTGCGTTTGATTTCTTCTCAGAAAATTACCTACAATCAGAACACAATGGATGTAGTATCTTTCCAAATGAAGTTACATCAAATATAATACAGAAATCATCATGAATTCGGCCGGGTCACATTCAAACTTCATATCAGTTATGCTGAATATGAGAAAAGTGTTTCTATTGTGCAAGTCAATTACACCAACTAGTCGAGTAAACAATTCTCAGCTGAATTTCGATAACTTACGCCTTTGTTCTTCAAACCATTGCATAAATTCTTCAACTGTACATTTCATGGTGACCGAATATAAAAACAGACAATGGAATTTATGCAGTAATGTTCCAAGACAATTGTTCAATCATCACTCACATATTACCGAAATAAGTGTATTTGTGTGAGATTTTACTGGTGATGGCTGATGACGATTCAGATAGTTATTTCAATGATGGAAACAGTCTGTAGTGCCTCCACATATAATATTCCAGTTCGCTTACATCTAACTTGGTTAAGCCCTTTCGATTAATTTATTTAACCAAGCCATTTGTATAGCAACAACTCATATATACCATTGGTATTTTTTATTATCTGGTTTGTATGAGCTTGTACGACTGAACATTGCTTACGCCTACGCGCTTACTCATCCTTTTCCCTTTAATGTTAATCTCTTAATATCCCCATGAACTCACATGACGTGTCCCACTTGTCATTTGACCTTGTCAATCATTCGTTGCTCTTATTCACGTGTGTGCATGACTATTTCGCTTGTCATATGTCTGTCTTATTTATGCCTGACTATATATTCTTAGTCATGCTCTATGTCTTGGAGTTGACTCATTTGTCTTCTCCGATTCGCTTCGCTTTGTGGTGTGTCCCGAATAAACGTATTCATTAATAAGAGTTCATGTTCTGATTTATAAACCGAGCTTAAGAACACGCAGATACATCGACACACTACAAGTTAACTTGATCATTGATATTACATTGACATAACAAATGTGTTACAATACAATGCAGTTGTCGATTAGTGCTGATAAAAATTGAAATGAAATAAGAGTTTGTGTGATCATTTCACATATCATATCATAAGTAATGTTGACTTTCTATAACTGATGTCTTAGATGAATGCTTCAATAAAAAGTTTGTTGAATATGAAAGATCAGTCAAAATGACTAATCAAATAGGATTACTTTCTACAGCATCTAATGTCTCCCCGTTTGACTCATCTGGAAAAGTGTAAAAACAGGATGAAATGGGTCACAAACGTTCTTCTGCTTTGAATAGAACATGAATATATATATGAAGAAAATCGATATAAATATGGAACTCACCACCACTATCTACGCCGACCTGATTCTGAAATCCTTGTATCGACAGAAATATTACAACAAGACAAATATATATATTGTCAAAACACTGTAGATCATGGTCAAACATGCAAAATATGTTGACTAATAAATCCTAGCTTCATTTAACGATGAGGTTTTA